CTTGATTCCAATTTCAATGCCAAGGTAACCAAAATTTGGTAAAAAAAATAGCATTCTAATAATACTGAAGTTATTTATTTTAATAAACTAATTGTTTTGCAGCTTTCTGATTTTGGCCTAGCAATTACCGGAGGAAATTCAAACAAGACTGATATCAAGCTTTCTGGAACTTTGGGTTATGTGGCTCCAGAGTACCTCCTAGATGGTTAGGACCACTTTCTTATCTTCAATTCTGTATGCCCATAATAAAGAGAATCTTACTGGACAAGTAGAAAGATTCCTTTAAACAATATCCATAATTTACAGTTTATCACACTTTGGACAATTCTGAAGAAAGTCCCCTAAGAGTAACTTTCTTAAAATACACGTTATGTGTATTTTCTTGGTTTTATTGAAAATGGAAGCTCTTGACAATTTACTACATGGGTCAATCAGGCAAGCTTACGGACAAAAGTGACGTGTATGCTTTTGGTGTGATTCTTTTGGAGCTCTTAATAGGAAGAAGACCGGTTGAGAGAGTAGCTGAAGCTCAATGCCAATCCATAGTTACATGGGTTAGCAGACCCAAATATTTTTTGTTAAATGTCGATATTTTTTGCGTCATTCTTTCCCATTCCTAATATCAAATCTAACCTACCTTTTCCAATTACAGGCTATGCCTCAGCTCACAGACAGATCAAAGCTCCCGAATATCATTGATCCAGCCATAAGAAATACTATGGACTTGAAGCATTTATATCAAGTATGGTTTTCTAAGCATCAATTATCCTAATTTAAATCTACTGTGCAGCTTACATACCAAAAAATAGAACAGTTTTTATCTACTGTTAATATTTGTTTTTCTAGTGAAAATTAATATTTTACATATTAATTTTTTCTCTATTGAAGGTGGCTGCAATAGCCGTGTTATGTGTACAACCAGAGCCAAGCTACCGACCATTGATAACAGATGTGTTGCACTCCTTTATTCCCCTTGTGCCTGTAGATCTTGGAGGATCATTAAGGGATTCAAATCATGCCACATGTGCATAATAACTTCTGCGTTATTCCTCTCCTTGTTTCGAATTCTTCTTGAGACGGGATATTTGTTATCAACGGGACTAAAACAGAAAAAAAAAAAATTAAAAAAAAAAAATTGAAGGTTTTGTTGTTGGATGATCATGCTTGTAAATGTGTCCTGAGTCTCCTGACTTGTTCTTTATGTATATATGTGCAAGATTTTCTTTGTTCAAAGGCATCCATTGCTAAATGGTAGTGAATTTTGTCCTATACAGAATTTGTATCTCAAAAGGCCAGATTCAAACTCAAAAGATGAATTACCATTTTAAAAATTATTGGACATCTCATAAGACATATATCTCTCCTCGTCTGTCAGCACACGTGTCGTTTCTAGAAGTTCCTATCTGTATGGAGATTGCCGCCGTAATCATTTAGCATTAAATGTTGTTGTACTTTCTGAAAATAGTACTACCTCCCTCCTTTGTTTTGTGATTTTGACTTTATTAATAATTAAACAAATAAATGACGTTTAGATATTTTGTGTATATTTTTTCATTATTATCTTTATTTAATTAATAAATATATTATGTCTTTTCATATTCAATATTCATCTTTTCTCAAAACATTTATCTCTATTCTCGTTAATGAGAGTTATTATTGATAAAATAAATATTTTTAATTATTGTGCAATTTTTCAAAAGACATTTATTAAAAAAAGGAAAGAGTATTAAATTTGTGTTATTAATGTTGTAATACAGAAATGAACAGTTCTCGATTGTACTACACTGTAAATAGCATTTGAAATTTTACCATAAGGCAGAGACAATAACAAATAGCAAGAGAATATCCTCTCGGGGGAAAACAATAGGAAAAGACCGAATAGAACTCTTGTTCAACATTTACTTATCCTTTGATCTTTTTTTTTTTTCGTTTGATAAATATTTATTTTGGTTGCATCAATCTTTGGTGGGCAACATAAGTTTTCTGTAATATTTTGAAGACGACAACAACGACCAGAACATAAATAATAATAACAACAATAATAGTTGCTGTCGCTAACAGCATCAGCCTAGGCCCAAAAAAGTTAAATCATAGAGGCCCATCCCCAGATGGACCCTTCTACATTTGAGATAATTACCCTACACACTAACTTAATCATAAAATATTATATATCTACGAACAAAATATTTTATTAGCAAAAGGAGATTAGATAACCTAAAGATTTGTACATATACCATTGCTGCACATAAACATTAATTACTTTTTTCTTTTTTCCATTCTCTTCTTCTCCCCCTTATTTCTCACACTTCTACAATACGATCCTATCTCTCCCCTAGCAAAAGAACATGAAAAAAAAAACCAGATCTAGACGATCCTCGATCCTCTCTCTCCCCCAGCAAAAGAACGGAAAAAAATAATAAAAAAAAAAACAGATCTAGACCCATCGCCCCACTTCTCTTTCCGGCGGCTGCGATTGCCCGGTTAGGCCTTGGCCGCGGCTTCGCCTAGTTATTCATCACTGCCGGCCCTCGAGCGTGCTGATGGTGGACGAGCCGTTGTCATTCTCCACCTTCTCCTCGTCACCATTAGACGATTCCCCGTAGCAGAAGTTGGCGTTAGATCCGGATTTCATGAAATCGCGGATGTTTGAACATCTTTAGGAGTTGAGTAACAACCCATCATCTCCTTCTTCAATGAGAGAAGACACTGCATAAAGAAGAGACATCTCTCTTGTGGGGAAGAGAGAGAAGCTGAAGGAGTGACTATTAGTGAAGAGAAAGAATTTATTTCAAATTGATATTGATTCAGAGGTTTCTGCGTTGCTGATGTAATCTCTCGATAGTGGAGACGGCAGGCGACGGATGGAGTTTTCTGTTTTTATAAACAGATCTAGTGTTGTTGTGGTCAAACTCGACAATTATGTATATCTTCCGTATATATATGCTTTATATGTGTAATATATTTTTACCTTTTTTTTGTTGTTTGTGTAGTTGCAGATATATATACTGTATATTTTTCGTATATATAATGTTTATATTTTTTGTATGTCTATAATAATGTATATGTTATGTATATGTCATGTATATATCCAACATAAACGAAAACTGGGATAAAAAATGCCAACATAAAAATGTTTCTCTCTCCAGGTATGCATCCCGTCAATTACGGGATCGATCTGTTATATAAATAATTTGATTAAGTTAGGTATAAGTGCAATTAAATTTTATATTTGGTATATATGCAAATAAAAACAATTCATCAAAGCAGAAGTGTAAATTCCCCTCTACATTTTGTGGGACTGGCTAGCCACTAGCCCATTGTATAGTAATAAGTTTTAGCTAAAGTAGATTGTAGATATTATTATTATTCTTATTCTTATTCTTATTATTATTATTATTATTATTACTATAAAAAATAACTTCTATCTATTTTTATTATAAAATTTGAAATATGTGAGATTTTATGAGTGAAAATATTTTAAAAAAAATCTACTCATCTTTTAAAAGAATGATGTAAGCTACAAAAGTATGTTTGCCAAAACATGAAATATCATTTCACAATGAGAATCAAACTGAAACAAATATTTATCAAGTGAGTCAAGAAAAAAATTACCACCACAAATAGGCAAAATAAAAAACATAGTCTCATTAAAAATTACATGAACATACAAATAATGAAAATATTTTTATTCAATCATTTAAAAGATACCACTTAGCAACCTAAAAAATCTTAAAACCGCTACCTTCCACCCAGTGATTGTTGGTAATTTTCAAAAGTTCCCAACAATTGAAAATGAAAATGGAATCTTTCTATCTATTTATTAATGAAATAAAAAGGTTAATCATTTAATGTAAATAGATTATGAAATTTTTCACCAAAAGTATTTATAAAAGAAGCTTCGTAAACGTAATTTTTGGCCTTTTCTTTTTTAGCATTGACTTTTTTTTTATAAAGAATTCTTAATAATTTATCTATTGATTTATTTGATATTCATAATTTATTAATTAAAAAATATTTGTAACCATAGATACATATTTCATAAAAAATTATCAAAACTCTTTCAAATTATAAGAAAAGTGTTTTTTTTTTAATATATAATTTTAGTGATTTTTGTGTGAATACTCAAATTGAGTTACAAAGAATTGTTTAACAATGTATAACAATAATTATAATATTATATAGATATATAAATATAACAGGATCAAATGAGAATGAGAGATAGTGAAAAAAAAATTAATCATATAAATTGGATGTGATATATCAACGCTTCAGCACTGGTTAAAGGGGTGGTGACATTCTTGTAATTATGAGTACTTTTAATTTTTCACGCAATGGTATTTTCATAATTTAGCATAATACACTACTACGCCAACATGCATTTTCATAGGCAATAATGTGTAGTTCTTCCACACTTAGTGCATTCTATAGTGACAGAAATGCTATGGAGCCATTGGATGGTTTTCTTATAGAGCCATCCATAACCGTCTATAGTGATATCTTGTTAAATTCGTGAACTTTTAAATATGTAGACTGTAGCAATCTATAATTTCGTAAAAAAACGTCAGTATTTCTAATATGGATATCCACTCACTTATCATTATTGTGAAGTCATTAACTTTTGATACATTGTACTCCATCCTATTTTAAATATTTGTCATCCTGGCTATCAACACACTAATTAATAAATATTTTTCTTTTCAAATTTAACCCTATTTAATAACACAATTGTGGATGGATGTTATTGGGAATATGAAGAGACAATGGGTATTAATGGAGGGGTTAAAAGGAAAAAATATGAACAAAATGACCAAAACGATATTTATTTAACAAATGATCAATTAAGCTAGAATGACAAATATTAAAAATAGGAGGGAGTAAATTTTTCCAAAGGACTAAACTACAATATATTAAATTTTCTGAAATTGTGGATAAGTCCTTTAAGACTTATTTAATTTTTTTAATGAAGCCCCAATTCATACTGGGACTTGTCTAAGTTTTATAATGAAGCCCTAAGTTTTAATTTGAGACAACTCTTATAACATTGTTTTTTTTAATTTTCTTCTCAGTTACATTCGAAACATTTCGAGGACAACATCCCTTAAATTGCTCTCAAGTTAAAAACCCTTTCTTAATTTTCTTCTTAGTTTCATCATCGTCGGCCATGGCTGACCCGTTTAGATCGAGGTATTTCACCCATAAACTTCACGACTTATTCGATTATCCATACTGATCTTTTCAATTTAATCGATAGTGTTTTTTTTTTTTTATTATTATTTCTTATTTCATCAATTTTCTTGTTTCGATGCGGTTGTTCTATGATTGAACGCAGAGAAGGATTAAGCACGAGGTCGGCAGCGTATGGTGGCAGCTCGGACGAGGTTCAGGTGCGGATCGATCCGGATTTCGATGAGGAGGTCACCGGTCTTCGAAAGCACGTCCGACGGCTACGTGATGTAACGTTTCTTAACTTCGATTTTTCTTTTGTTCAAGAATTGCTGTCATTTTACCTGTGATTGATTATTCTATTTTATATAAGATTGTTTAGTTTATATTGAAATACATCAGGTGCTAGTGCTTGGATGGTATATTTTTTTTCATTTTGGTATAAATGGTATGACTTTGGGGATGTTGATTTTGAATTGTGTGGTCATTCTTTCCCCTTCATGATTCAGTTGTTTTAGGAAGAAACAAGATTGTGCTGTGTTCCTTGTTAGGCCAAATTTTGTTGGAAGTTGATTGCTAGTACAATTTGTCCAATTATAATTCACCGGATTTGGTTATGTCGTTTAGCATCATGAATGGGGTATGTGGTTCACAATAAGTTGTTGAAAGGTTGAGGGATAAATGGAATGATAATGGTTGATATTGCGGCAAATCAGTGCATTAGTGCGCCCATCTTTGTTCTTCTTTGTTGCTAATTCTACACGAGTTGTGTGCTCCAATCTCTATGAGTCTATTAATGTGCTAGTTGCCTTTAGCCTTTAGGTGGTGAGGATTCCTATTGCAGTTTAGATCATTTTCTTTCTTTGACCATCTTCTGGGTTTTCCTTATAATATTGCTTTGGTTTAGGATAGAACTGTACCAATTATGTTTCCTTTTGTAAGATGCAAGTTCTGCAACACATCTTTTATGCTGTTTCCAAAGATATCATTCATTGCTTTGTGATAAACTTCATATTGTTGAGGACTTGTGGCTTTGTATCAAACAATATATATTGTTTATACTGACATGCTGATACTGTTTCGTGATATACGGCTTTCTACAGCAGAATTGTTTTGTTCCTACTTTATGTAGTCTCAGATTTGCCCTCATGACATTGCAGGTAGCTCAAGAAATTGAGACAGAAGCAAAGTCTCAAAATGATTTCCTCAATCAGCTGGTATGCCATTAATTTCTTGAACTTTGGAATTTAATGGACCTTCATCGAATAGCTAAGCTGTTCTATGTCTTTAATCTTTATAGTGGAAAGTGAATTGATGCATAACTTTGGTAAATTGCTCGATGTTTCTCTCTTTGTTCTTTCCTGAAACAAACATAGTGCATGGTTGATGATGGTGTTCAAGTTATGACTTGTCATCTCACTAATGGTGTTTGCGGCATTTGTTGAACTTGTTTAATCTCCACTTTGGTTGTGAAATTTATTTCTGGAAGAGAATGCTTTAATCTGCCATATTGTTTTCTTGCTTCATTTTGTCAAACAGAATAATATATTCTTGAAATATCTGGTGTGACCGTGAGACTTATAATGTTGGATTAGTTTATTTGTGGGACTGAACTATCACGAGGCTAATTTCATTTTTTTTCCCAGCCTTAAAAATTTTGAGATATCATATCAATTGGGAGAATAAATGAGAAATTAATGACCTTGTGCTGTTGCTTTTGTTTGTTACAGCAAATGACGTTGATCAAAGCTCAGGCAGGAGTGAAAAACAACATGAGGAGACTGAATAAGAGCATCATCTGGGAAGGCTCTAGCCATGTCATGCACATTGTTCTTTTCGCGCTGCTGTTGTTCTTTGTCGTTTACTTGTGGTCCAAATTTTCCAAATGATTAGAGGTTATAGGCCATGTTTTGTTGTGCTTCAACACTACTAATATGTTGAGTTACAAAGCCGTAAATTGTCAGGTAATGAAAGTCCTCATCTGATGCTTGTAAATAACTTCCTTCTTGGCGAAGTAGAAACTGCTTTAAAGTTCGACCTTCTTTTCACCTTGTTACTATAAATTAGGATGGTTAAAGATTGTGCATTTTACATATACCTAGATATTTTTTACCCGAAATTCCGTGGCAAGGTTTGCGTAGATTCTACTGCTTGGATACTGGTTTTAGTTTTAGCGCATTTTTCTTGAAGGTCTTGCTTGCGCCATCTATAGTTGTGTGTATCGACTTTATTCATTTGATATTTCCATTACTAAGATCAACAGAGATCAGAGATTTATAACCGAAGTACTGTGTATAGAATATGTTCATGGTTGTTGGGAATGAATATGCTGTAAAGTTTATGTGTGATCAGATTTTTCGAGGATTTCCTTTTTGTTTATTACTACAAAAAGGAAAGACTATTGATATACAAGACAATAGTTTTGAATAGTATAAATTGTTAAAGCAAGGAAAGACTACTGAATAGTACAAATATACTTTTGAATATTAATATTGTTCTTTAAGTTATTTTATATTTATGACATAATAGTTTAATATATGATTTGTATATTTATTTCACCAATTAAATAATAGTTTTCATGTTGGAGTTCCTGTTATAATTAGGGAATATGAAAATTTTGTCATATTCAAGCATTATCAATAAATAATAGTAACAAAAATACTTATCTTTCTCTTTTTTCCCTTGCTTATATCTTATCACAATATATTATTCCGAATCCTAATTGATGGTAAAGTTGAAAAATCATGGTAATATTATGTACCGACACTTAATTTAAAAACAATGCAGTGTACACTATTTTATAGTTATAAAATTTATTAATTTTTAATTACGTCAAAACTATGTAATATTTTTTATAATTTAAGAAAGTATATTATAAGTATTTTAAACTTTTTTCATGTCTAGTAAATCAATAAGGCAGTTCGACACCTGCTGATTTATCTTCATACTTTATAAAAATATACATTATAAATATTATGACTATTTTCTAAAGTAATAATTTATATCGTTTTTCGAAGGATGACTTGTTGGTTTATCATTATAATTTTATAGCAATATACATTATAAATATTTTTAAAAGAATGTTGTGTATACTATTTTATAAATATTCTTGTTAAAGATGTCTTTAAGGGTGACACCCTCCTCCATTGGATGAGAGACAAATGTCCCTCTTTTGTAAAAATAAAAAATTTACTCACTTTTTTTTTTACAACATATGGGACACTTGTTCCTCATCCAATGGATGAAGTGCCACTTTTTAAGGGTGGCATGGAATGAACCATGAAGCAGACAAATAGAGAGATCCCATTGTCATTCTAGAAATCTTCGACAATTTGACAAATTCTGCAAATGTTATACTAAAGTGAACAACTTTTTGGATATAAAATCAAACGGAATTATGAAAATCTAATTTTTCATCCCATTCTAAAAGCAAACTATATCCAGTAATTCAATCCCATCTATGAAGAGAAAAGAAACAAAACCAAAAATTACATTAAGCAGTTAGTTCACATGTAATGAGCCCATTTATGCTCGTATAAAAGTTGGGGACACTCTACTTCATTTCATTATCTCCCCACATCACCAAAAAGTATATCCTTTCTTTTTCTTTTCTTCAAGTTTTCTTTTTTAACGAACATTACACACAATACAACTCAAGGCCCCCTGCAGAAAAACAAGGCAAAATTGATGGCACTGATTGAGGAGGAACAAGAAGAAAAGGTAGATCAAGAAAAGATTTCTAAGTTACGTGACCCAGGTTTTATTAGCTCCAATAGTGAAGGTAACAGACTTATATTATATGCTGCCAGCCTGCCACATGATTAAGGTTTATGAGTTGGTGATACTTTTAACAAAAATGTTCGTACTACAATATTATGTCATCAAATGATTTAAAACAAGCAGGCTAAACAAACACATAATCTGCATCTCACATCACAAGCAACTTAACTTGATTTGTGGATAATTCATGCTTCATACCTTTAAATTTTTCAGAATTCAATCTTCTTTTTTATCGCCAAATGCTACAAACTCCTAATTGCCAATCACTTTTTAGAAACTTCTACAATGATTCACAACATCTAGAAACAAAAAGCTTCTGCAAACACCCTTTAGAGTCCAAGGTACCAAAAGTCCAACAAAAAAGGCCTCCTTGGAAATCTTTATATTGTCACTTCCACCTAATCTCGAGCTTAATTAATTTCTCTATTTTTTTTTTTTTTTTCTGGTTTCTAAATTATAAGAAAACCTGGTTGAGGCTGATGGATCTTCTTCTTTCCACCTCAGATACTGAGAGAAAAAGTTCAGCCAAAGCAAATCTGCACGAACTGTGCACTAAAGCACGCTGGAAAAAGCCTGAGTTCGAATGCTGCAATGAAGAAGGTCTTGATCATCAGAAATTGTAAGTCAACATAAAGTTAAACTTGTATGAGAAATACGTCAAAATTCAGTTTCAAATTAAATTCTATCTCCTACAACCCATCATATGTTTCTAGATTAAACTCAAATATTTTCATCTCAAAAAATATGCCACAGAATACACTGCTGCTTCAAGTTATCACTACACATAAACAATTTGAAGAAAAAAAAAATGACAGAAAATGAGAGTGAAAATAGATACAACAGCATCGGCTTATGTTTTGGATTATAATAGATTCAAGATTCTGGGCAGGTTCACCTTTAAGGTTCTTGTTAGGGTTCGAGAGGAATCCACAACATTGGAGTGTTATGGGAATCCACGAGCAAATAAAAAGGCAGCAGCGAATGATGCAGCTGAAGGTGCACCCTGGTGCTTGAAACACATGGGTTATGAGCTAAAGAAACAACAAAAAAGCCAAAATATCTCTGGTTTCAATATATATAGAAAATAAATTGTATTTTCTTAGCCCATACTAAAGTCATATAGTCAATTCACTCTCTTTCAACATTTTCATTCGCTTTGTAAGGCTCAAAAAATGAAAAGATTACTCGAATTACTAAACATGGCGAATAATGAATTCATTTAGATAACAAGCCAAAATAAGAAGTTCGGTCTTTGTGATCATGCTATATCGCATGCAATCGACATTAAAATTAAGTCAAATTATACAGATCATTACATAATAGGAAAAAGGAGTTAGTGAGTAGAGATAACATTTAAAGGGATATCATTTCTGGGAAAATAATATACTTCCGCGCGCCTTCCCCAAAAGAGAGGCTTGTTTCCATTGACGATGCCCCCCAAAAGATGGTCATTTTACCATATTTAGTAAGCAAATATTTTCACCTTTCATGTGTACCCCTAAGCTGTTTACTCAATTGCACTCTTGGAAATAAAGCATTGCGGAAAACAAGTAAAAAATGTAACTGTAAATATGATTATCAAAGGAAACGTAACCTTTTAACTAATTTTTTCTTAAACTTTGTGAAATAACCGTAAATCTATCTTTTAGAAACAGAATGAGTATTAATTTAAGCCTGTGCATGATTACTAAGGCGGCGATTTTCACCATTCCTACAAACATGAAACCGAAATTTTCGGAGATAAAATTTGAGAGGAACAAAAATAGTAGAAACAATCTTCACATACTTACTGCACAGAAATGTTACTGAAATAAATCAAGCACATTATGTATAAAGATATCATAGACAATAATGCTAGCTTATTGGGTAACCTTTCGAGCTTCAAACTTCCCCTTTGAATTTCTCCATGCTACAAACCATGGAGAAAATCATGACCTGAGTAGTACTTGGTAAAAGACCTAACTAATATAACACTTGTGTGTTTCTTTCAAAATAAAAGAAGGTTACAATTGTGATACTTTGTACTCTCAGGTTTCCTTTTGTAGCTAGGTGTCGTGTCATGCATTATATTCTTCTCATGCATTACATTGAGCTCAAGCTATACTATGTGCGGTTCGCAAATTTGCCATTTTTAGCCTTTTGCATGACTTACAAGGACAAATAAATTTGAAGGCAAACTTTAACAATCAGTTGTTGCCTTGTTTGGCTAGCTAGATGGTGGGGTTCTGTAATATACTAAAGAATGATAATTCGTTTTCAATAACTATTCAGCTACTCTGACTCTGATTGAGGGCCTCGCTCACGAGTTGTCATGTTTTCATTTTAGCATTTTCAGTTATATAAGGATATCAGAACTAAGTCATAATGGGTTATGTTATGTATCATGCTATTCTGTTAAATTCACGAAACCCATCAAGTGAAAATCAGTCAGAGCTGAAAGGATTGAGTTGAACCCCTGGAAGCGTCTATCATGCGATTTATGAAAGCGGAGGCAGTAAAGAAAGTTCAGTATAAGAATAAATCTGTGGTTCAGGCATATCATCAAACATATATAACCCAATTCACACAAACTAAAACTTAAAGTTTTTCACTCTGGATTAATCTATGATTTGAAAGGCAATAGCCAGTAACCGAATGAATAGTTAAAGCGAAAACATATAAGGCGATGAGGATATAAAGTGGGCCCACCTTTAAACTCGACTCTGGCCATGCTCATCTTCTCCGATTCCTTCGACAAGTCATTTTGTTGAGTTAAATTGAAAAGCAAGAATTCAACTAGCTATTTGAATCTATTNTATATATATATATATATCATTTCTATAATTTTGCAATCTAAATTAAATTTTGTATAAAATCGACTAGCTAATTTTAATTCTCGTCACGTGGATCGGCCGGGACCACCTTTGCCGGCGATTGTGGTTCGACAATTTTCGGCAAGCCGACCTCAATATCTCCACCGGCACCGCCACCACCAAAAGATTCGCGTTTGAGCGAAATCAAAACTTCATTTATGTCTTTGTGTTTTCCCCACAAGAACGAGTATAATCCCACGATAATCAAACTCATACCCAACAAGCTGCAATTAACAAATTACCATTCATTTTGCATCAAATCCAAATATTTATCTTTGTATATATAACTAATATAAATTTTTTTATGATAATTTACATAATGGTAAATTTGTGTGTGTGTTTTTGTTTAGAGGGTACCTTCCAATAGAGATTTGTTCCCCAAGGAAAATGGCTTCAACAATTGCAATTAAAATGATGGCCAATGGGTTGAACATTGTAGGATATGTGGGCCCTCTTTGTATGATGGCCCATGAGATCAAACAAAAGGATGCTGCCGTGGCAAATACTCCCTATTATAGAAATAATTGTACAAACTTCAATTCCAAATATGTAACATATTAACTTATCTATACTTATATAAAAGGGGGTCATATTTACTACATTTAGTATCCAGAAAAGTCAATAGCATTAAATGTCATTACTATTTCAGTATTAGAATATTTTATAATCATTATAAAATATTTTGAAGAAGACAATTTATGAATTCACTTACCATAATAATCTCATTCAGATTTATTAGGTATTGATTGGGGACATTATAATCAGATTTTTTATTATTAAACATAGATTAATCGTAAAATACTAATTATATATATATAATCGATCAGATTTTTTATTATTACACATAGATTATATTTTTGATTCATTATATTGCATTCAGATTTATTAGGTAATGATCTAAACATATAATAATTATATATAATTTAGGGTTACTTTTATATAGATCAATCATTCATATTTTTTATAATCATTATATTTTTAATCCGAAATTTTACGTACTAAAATTTACGAAATAAATTTATAAATCTTACATTTTTCAGAATGAATTCAATACGAAAAAAATTTAGTCCAAATTTACGTGTGGTTTTGAAGTGAAACTTTGAAATTCAAAATCTCTTCTCATTTTAGTTACAAGAAAATCGGGTTGCATTCAACACTTGGACCAATTTAAAAATTAATCCTTAAATGAAAGAATTTATAAATAATTGTTATCTCTACTCAATCACATGATTATTTTCAATATAAAAAGAGACAGATTACAAATTAGTGAATCATATATTACCTAATTCAATATATTAACATTAAGGAATAAATCTATAGTATTATGTAAATCCGTATCTCATATTATTATATCATTAAGAATATATTATAGTTATATTATCAAATCATAAAAAGATATTAAACCCATATTGTGAAAAAAATAATTTATATAATTTTATAACAATTCTACTACACTATTTAACAGTATTCATTTTTATTATATAATAAAATAATAATTAAATATCATATAGTGAACAACAATAAGTAAAACTATTACTTTCTCTTAATTTCAAAGGATAAATTTATATGCTAAAATTAAATTTCTATTAGTATAAATGTTTTAGTGAGATAATATATTAATTATTTTACAAGCTAGCCCTAACCTAATATGCTCATATTTAATGTTCTGGCTAAAAAAACAACGTTGGTTAAAAGATGTGGAAAAAAACTTATAATAATCTTATTGTTTTTTAGACTTAACGTTGATTAAAAGAGGTAGAAAATAGATAATAACCCTATTATTTTTTAGACTTAAACAGACAAGGGTGTGAAAATAACTCATTTAATGTCTCTGTCTCGTGCACCGCACGGGGTACGTACTAGTAATTTATCATTAGGCTACCATATAATCAAAAGAATTAATTAACTAGTTAATTAATTAATTAATTTATTACCGAGTAGATAATGGTGACAAGCTCGAGGTTGAAGCCCAATTTCCAGGCCTTTGGGTCCCTGTTCATACAGAGCCCAATCACGGCGGATTGGGCCGAAGCTATGACACACGTCAGCAAATTTGCCCAGTATCTATATGGAAATACTTTGAATAGCTTCACCTGTAATAATACAATAAAAACATGAGAAATGCTATAAGTACATAATATTATACATAAGGATGTACATAATACTCATATTGTGTGGGACCTACCAAAAATAAAAAATCAAGTAGACCCCACTCCATGTAAGTGTTATTTACACCTTTATGTACTTGTAGCATTTTCCTAAAAACATTATTTCCTAGCCCTAACAAGAGTTTTAGTAGTTAAATGCAGAAGGTTGTTTGAAACACTTATAAACTGAACCTATTGACTCGTCTAACGGTTAAGTCACATGAAAATTTTTGAATTTCATTACCTGTAGAATGAACCAGATGCCATAGGATAAGCAGCTCGTGACTAATGTGATTGTGCCACGTGTCATATTTTTCTGAGTCTTGATCAAGATTGTTGACTCGTGTTTAAAATAATGACCAAGATGTAATGATTTGCCCTTGTAGAGAGTAATTGTCAATGCCCCTTCAAGGCATAGCATTGCCCCAATAGTTTTTATCTTGCCAGCCATTGTGTGAAGACCCAATCTCTCCACCCTAATTCACAAATGTTAATCAAGATTTAGAAATAATAATGTTGGTATAAAGTGATTAAACATATGTGAAATGTATGCAGTATTTGATTTAGATGCATTCGTACCTAAAAATTATCGCAAAAATGAAAGTAATAACAGGAATAAGGTTTAGAAAGTTGGTAGCATATGTAGCACTCGTGTACTTTAGACCATAGTAGAATAACCCCATCGCCATTGATATCCTGAATTCGTATATTTATCCATGTGAATTGCCAGAAATAATATGTAACTTGAAATCTACCATATAAATCAGTCAACATTTTTTTTCTTTTTAAAGAAAGAAAACTTAGAAATGCAAAAATAATTATTTACCCAGTTAATGCCACCATGAAAAGCCAGAAGAAAGCTGCCAAGGTAAGCTTCTTCAAGGCACCACTGCATAATTAGAGCCAAATAATTATATGAATTTCCCAAAAAAAAGACTCAATTATTTAAATATATTTAGAGGTAACATTAATTGAATACAAAACATGCTTTCACAGGGTATTACAAAAAAGAACCACCATAATATAAATAAATAAATAGAAAACATGTACATTTATGTGACATATACTTGAAAAACTAACCTTTCAAAGTAAAGAGCAAAGGGAACTATAAATAGAGCAGCAATAACATGGCGATAAGTCATGAGAGCAAAAATAAACGTCCCCTCGCTAATTATAACCCTGGAGAGTATTAGCAGCGCTGATGCTATCACTTGTACCGCGAGCATCCCGAGCGGTACTCTTGCATTCATTAACCATTTCTTCACACCCATACCTTAATCTATAAAATGTAAAAATCTATAAGCTAACTAAATTATCGAACTGATGCTATTATTTATAGTACAAGAACCCAAGGAGATTTCAATATGGTCAAAGGTCAATAAAAAGATGAAATGAAATATGAAAGTAATGCTCGTCACGACCCCTTTTGATGTGATGATATTATTTATAGTACAAGAACGCAAGGAGATTTCACGTGATGGTCAATAAAAAGATAAAATAAAATATGAAGTAATGCTCATCTAATTAATATAGGACAAATGGTTACTTTAGGGTTGCAACGTGCAATCACTAGTGGCAAGGTACACGGGAATATATATAGTCGATATACCTTGTTTTTCACTTTAATTTGTAAGTCTTTTACTTAATTAATAGTATTTGTAAATTTATGTGCCTAGGACCTAGGTGATTTTTCATTGAATACAGTGGAACGTGTTATTAGTTGGTCTGATGGAATAAATAAAAAAGGCTATATGAGAATTGACATGTTTGAGTTATATAATTTGTATGTACAGTTGTACTTTAGATTTGACTTACACATGTGTGTGTCCATGTGCATGCACTCCTACATAAACATATCCATCATATTTATTATAAAT